GCTGTAGAGAACCTTCACTTGTGAGGCGTGTTGAGTCACCACTGGTGACCGTCTAGTGACCCTGGTAGAATTGGTTCCATTGTTTTCAGTGATCCCGACAAGCGAAGACGATACTGCAGATTACCGGAGCTTCTAGTGGTGAATATCGCTCTTCACGCCCTCCTAGAGAGCTGTTTTGGGTCTCTCACAGAGTGGACCTCCAATATCTCAGCATGGAGATCCGAGTGTCGATGACGTATTTACCAGATCATCCAACCACTCATGCTTACCGTTTCACTCACCGAACCACTTCTCCGCGTATTTGTCGACATGGAGCGCTACCGTCTTATTGCGACTGTTCATGGCCAATAGCATCGCACCGACAGTATTCAATACTATGTGTATATAGGGGAAAAGCTTGCGGTGGAAAGCCAAAATGATTCGCTTGATAAGAACCTCTCTCTCGACAGATTCTGTCAGAGTCCGACAGTCGGACAGGAGCGCAAGTATTGTATTTCCTTCGCGGAATTTCTTTGAATATCTCACTCCATAGACATAACTGATATAGACTCAACTGAGAATCCCTATTAGGGTTACTTCTCGCTTGAGCTTCTTCACTCTGGCTTGCAGATTGTCGGCCGCCCGCACCAACACTTCTCGATGATTGTCACGACCCATTGGGTTGAACCCAAAGCCTCGATGATCGCGGTTTCCTCACGATGGCTATCCTCAGCATAGCATTGCTGCTACTCCGCATACTGTCAGCACCGCATAGTTGGACACAGTCCTCGCTGATACAGTCACTATCGGAGATGGCAGAAAAACAGCCTGAGGAACGTACAAGACGAATCCTCGGGCGAGAGTCGAAGAATCGCCACGAGCGAAAAGCAGGACTGTGATCTCACCCAACATGAGGGATTCTCGCATCTCACGAATGGAATGTTTTACTTCCAAGAGATCTTCTGATCGACCAAACATCGTGGGTGGTTCGAGATGGATCCGACTGACAAAACGCTTGGCCGGAGCATAGGATAGATAAGTCTTACCCATCCTATACTCCTGTTAAGCGTTTTACCCGGTAAGATATACAGTATGCAGCAACTGGACTGCCATCCTCGCTCGAGGGACAGCAGCACAGGCTATGCTCGAATTGGCAGCCGAGTAGCGGTGCGGACATCGTCATTATGACACCGTCTAGAAGGATGCGGGTTGTCCTCGACACCTGCCTTCCATGGCGTGGACAAACTTCCACAATCAAGTAATTATGAGATGAAGCTTTCTCATCGAGTACGGACCAGTGACCCGGTGAAAGTCTGCCGAAGAGTACCCGCCCCGTGCGAGTGATCCCTAAGGAAACCTCTGGTGCCTTATCGTATGCTATTACAGCCGGAAGAGCATACTCCCAGAGCAAGGCTAAACCGTCTAGTAATGATGAATCATCATTGATGATGGCTCTCGACACAGCCATTGATCCGTCCAAATAGCACAGCAACCACTGTCTGTCTAGCATGTCGACGAAAGTACTGTTCGGTTGAATATGACATTATGTTTGGCTGAATTAGGTGGCTAACCTATACATCACATAATTAACTACTACATCTCAAACGACTTGTTACAGCACTAGTAGTACTGCACTACACAGTGACTCTCCATAAGTGAGTATTGGAAACCTCTTACTTTATCGAAAGAGCAATTAAGAGTCATCAAACTCGACCGTGGGATCTCTTATGCTCGAGGATTTCTATCGTATCCATCTTGGAAAGATCAAGGCTGCAGTCTTCACACTTAGCGTCATACTTCACCTCGTCGGTTAGATCCTCCGAAGAGTTACCGACTGCAACGACAGGACCGTCTGACACATTTTTGTCAAATATCATATGGAGACCAAGTACCGCACCTCCATCATATAGGGACATGCCGTTACAAAAGCGCCGCTTGTGGTCGCTTATTTCTTTTCTGTTCAATCGGCCTTTGAAGCCACAATCTGGACATCTCCAATCAACCTGAGATATGCATATATCCAACCAATGATGATCATTGGATGATCTTGCATCGCTCACCTTCAAAGAGTCAGAAACCTGACCCGAGCTAATATCGATACGGGTGTCATCCACGTTACCCCAAGTGAGCCATGATGTTACTCTCTCGCCTCGTTGGGAGGGCGCCAGTATTGCAGCATCGCCCTCACTGATGATCTGCCAATCAAATTCGACTGCAGCAGCCAGGTCTTGTAGCTGCAGCATGCGAGACTGTAACTCCTCCATATCAACAGTATGACGATGACATTCTCCTCGAGCTCGACTGAGTTCAGCCGGTAATCTCGGACTGCCTTCAGCTGAGGGCTGATGGTCTGGAAGAGTCTTATCTGTCTCAGCGAGTTCCCAAACTCCCCAGTCAAAAGCTTCGAATAGTGCCGAAATTTCCAAATCCATACGACTCTCTAACCACTGACGTACGACTATTGCTGTACCTGAGCGACTCATTCAGTCAAGGAGTAGTGAGCAGCATATGCCGTTACCTAGCAACTTCTCGATGGATCCCCGAGTAGTAAGGTAGAGTCGCTGGTCGATGACCAGAGAGTCGCATTGGGTATTAGTATTCACGTTGGCTGCGGCAAAGAGTAGAGTAGATAGCAGTGGTAGACGTATGCAATGAACGATGAAGGGACGATACCTTGAAAGAAGTATATAATAAGAGCTGTGATAGCCCCCATTCAGAGTGAGTGCTTCAGAGCCGAGGAATTCAAGCCCCATCTCTTTGAGTAACTCTCACGTTAGCAAAAGCGAGGAAAAGCCCACGCATTCCGTCTCGGGTGATATCTCGTTAGCGATGGGATAGAGAACGCTCTGAGGATGTATCGACGCAAACCTGTCCGCCGCGAGGTTACCAGCCAGTACAGTAAATAAGCCTGAAACAGAAAGAGGAATGACACAGCAAGTAAGGGTTTCGTCCCTACAGTCCTTGGCCGTCCCTTCAGTCCTGTTGCTCTTGGCTGGGTACGATATATTAGGATAAAGGGCTTTACCAATGCACATCGATAGTAATTTCATCTTGGAGGTAGAAACCTTGTCAGCTGTGCCGAATAACCTGCAACTTTATGGGATATAATGAG